TGATTCCTGCACCTGTATGTATAACTGTATGTTTTGCTGTAGAAATCCATTCTGCAAGCTGAACAACTTTACTTTCTACAGCATCACTGCTATCAAATTTCTGAAATACAGCGACTTCTTACTACACAAAGAAATCGTGATATAAAAATCTGTCAATGTATATGGCAGGCGATTAATTTTAATTTTAATTGAAGCGTTAAACATGTGTCACTGTGACAATATTTTCGGAAAGCAGGCTTTTAAATTTATTAAATACATTACAGGAATGAAACATTAGATAAGGTACAAACCTCCTTAAGTCCAAGTTTCCCTTTGTTATTGTACGGCGACAGACCCTCCGCATAATTACAAGACATTTCCTACCAGTTACCAAGGTTTCAAATGCCCTTCCTATTGCCATGTATCCCTACAACTTGCCACGGATTTCACAGTCAGTACGCGTAAAAAGAGATTACATCTGACTGATCATCGGTACAACAACAATTATTAACCATGGACAACATGAAATTCCCACGGATCCTGTAGCAGTTCTACTACAGCACTGATAACTGTAGCGTTAAGACATGCTAAGAAGTGAACGTTTGTAAACTAAGCGAAGGTGATACAAATAGTTTACATAAAAATGATACCAGAAACGCTCATCATCTGTGCTGCTATTAACATAGAAGTATTCCATGGTTTAGTAGACGTAGGCGTTGTTGCTATAGTTTTACCGCCAGAGTGCTCCCACAGACGTTTTACCACTGATAAAAAGTATGTTTTGCTGGGAAATTAATTAAACACATCCTATGTGTTTTATCTTTGATTGGGTCAACGTCAACCCCCTCCCCCAAACTTTCAAATTCGCTGTTAGTATAGTATGTTTCTAGTTAACGTGTAACTTCAAAAAAATAAATGCCTGCAATTCTGATGCAGAGTTTTTTCTTCTTAGAGTTGAACACGAAGATTTGTTTACCCAGTCTGCCACGTTATTGGTCAGACCATCCAATTCCCTTAATAAGTTCGAAATATGTAATAATTATATAATTAATTAAATTTTGTTTATTTTACATTCCCCAAGATTCAGTGTTCTATAATGGGCTCCCTCCTGAATTAAAAACGATCACTTCACATTGACGACATCCTGTTTTAAGAGAACAGCTTATTAGGCCTGTTTGCAAGTATACGTATTCATATGAATGATACGCAGTGGCAAATAAATCGCTCAGTATTTTAAAGAATAATTATAATTTCATATAAAGTATAACAGAGTATGATCTGAAGCTTTCACGGCGACTAAGTATAATAAATTCTTCTCGGGCTACCAGCCGTTTAAAGTGGCTTAATGAAGAAAACACCGACATTTCGATAACCATCTTCGTCCTCTGAGAACGAAGAATAATTTATTATATAACGGAGTAGTTATCACAGCCGTTGTCCCATGCAGAACATTGCAACGCGTTGTTCCCTGCCTTAAACTGTTTCTTATTTTTGAATTACTGGCAGCTGCCTTTATACTGAATACCCTGGGCCACTGTTGTTCTTAATCAAACTGCTGGAAGGGTAACATATATCATTCCGCGTTATTTTGGTATTGCCTTATAATATTCAAACCCAATGTCATCGATTTTTTTAAGAAAGGCTATTGAATTTACTTACAAATTTGTAAAACAGAAGAGAATGAAGTACGACATTCATATCATTGGGTGTACTTTGTTAGTTTGTTTAACGACGGAGTACATCCGCAGAGAAACAGTAGCGTCGAAAGAAGCTGGCAGGGAGCCGTGGTCGTTGAAATTCAGACACAAACATGTCTCTTTTTGCAACAAGTAATTTGTTAGGTTAGGTTTGGCCAAATATCTGTCGGTGGTAATAGTGATAATTTGGAAATAGGATTGATTAATTATTGTTAGTCAACTCTGTTGTTCCTATAGAGGGTAATATTTAGCCTAAGACATAACAGAATATTGGAGAAAATTATACAGAGAGCTTTACAATTTGTAGCCTACGATGATTACATCCTGATCTCTTATAACGAGTGTGTCCCGATGTTATATATCATCACATGGGTAAAGGGGAGAGGGATCGAACGAAAATATGCCCGTATTAGACGTCGACCTGGTAGAAAGCCTCCATAAAATATCTAGATATTTCTGTGTTCACGTGAAGATGTGGGAGAAACATGCTAAAGAAAGAGAATGACAATTCTTAATTGCATTAATACTGTTATGATTTATTACATATAGGATCTAGCTATAACTCAAAATTTGAAATAAATAATGACCCAATGCAACGCAACACCATGGACTTCTACATTGTTAGAATTTGTTATTTATTATTTTGATTAAGTGGAGACAAACTAGTTTTTACATGTTTAATACTGTACTAAATTATGTTCTCTTCTGACGATAGAAAATTTGTGCTTTACATTGTGGACTGAAGTTTGTAAAATACTGTAGACTGCCAGATATGAGAAAATGGTGGTAGCGGCCAATGAAAGCCAAAATACTTTGGCCTTCGCAGCCTACTTAGTAAACAAATCAGTCTGAGATAAGCAAGTCATTCTAGCTAGTTCAACTCAGCAGCAAGCTTCAATACGTCGAACTTAGGAGTAACTTCCGTTAACTATTTCTGAGGCAATATTTTTTTAAACTTTGATCTGCTTGCTTATCAGTTTATGTGTGCAGCATATATTTGTTCTCCCGGATTCAGAAGTAGTGCCAACTGACAATTTCATCATCATCAAGTGTACTACAACCCAGACAGAGCCTTGACTTTCACTAGTGTACTACAACCCAGACAGAGCCTTGACTTTCACTAGTCATATAATTAGTGCTGTGCATATCCACACGAACCGAGCTTTGGAAGAGGGCATCCACCGTGAAACAAGATGACGTCTACCGGTCCGGCATTCGATTCCAATTGCATGACTTTAACGAGATTTGTTTTAGATGAACAAAGGAGAGTCCCAACAGCTACTGGAGATTTGACACAACTTTTAAATAGCATTCAAACAGCTGTGAAAGCTGTCAGCTCTGCCGTAAGGAAAGCAGGAATTGCCAAACTGTAAGTACGACTATATAATTTCTTCAAATGAAAGTGTATTGCAACAAGATTTAATTCCTTGGGCATGATCCGTCTTTGTAGTGATTAAATTCCCCATGTCCAGACAAAATTTATTAATCATTCGTCTATGAGGCACCCCATTTTCTAGCACTACCGACGACAGAACCAAGACGAGATATCACCCAAAATTATTGCAAGAAGCCTAGACCTATGGGCTATAATTTCATTACTTTGGCTTGTAACTTGATAATTGATTAGCCTTTGTGAAAGGAATGCTAGAATTTATCGGATATAAAAAATATACTATGGGACAGTAAATTATATTTACATGCAGTAAGATTTTGGTAACGCAGATGGATAGTCTAGATCAGTGGTATTCAACCTGGGGTATTCGTACCCCCGGAGGTACGTGAAATTTAAAAAATATATATATTATTTTATGATAAACACTGAATAATCAGGTCCAGATTTAATACATTATTTTAGATGTAATTTATTTAATTTATTTTAGATGTAGATTATATACTATGAATAACTTGAATTGTACACCAACAACTTTGGGGATACAAAATTGAAGAGAAATTATATCTGGGGGTACGCGAACAAAAAAGGTTGAATACCACTGGTCTAGATGTTTGGAGCAGAAAACATTCCATTCACCACGCAGCAGAGTAACATGTTACTTTGAATTTACAACAGATAACGAACAGCATTTATAGCCATTAATTTAATCACAATTTAGTTTCACTTCAAATTCTGTATTTAAATTTGACACAGTTCCGACATTTGTGACACTGCTATATTTTTTAAAGCCCACGGACCAAACAACAGCTCCTTGAGAAGCTGATAGTCGCTCATCTAGAAAATAAACTCCCCTTTTTATGTAGCCCAAAGGTTCATTACACAATAACATTTTACAGGAACCCATCCAGAGACAGGTGAATCCATTCTTTATTGCTTATATCATTCCAAAGACTTCGTCAAAATTCGCAGACCTGTGTAAAATTTCGTAACTTCAGTTTTTTTCATTTCTTTGGGAACTTCCTTGATGTAAGACATGAATTTTTATGTAATAAATAACAAGAATGTATATTCGATTTTTGTGTGCTCTCAAGTTAAAGTTTGATAAACCCCCTGATAATTTCCTTCAGAAAGAGTGAACCTGAATATAAGGTTTCGTGATAGTGCTCAACTTTTGAATACGTGATAGTGGGAAAAAGTACAGTGAGAAAAACAAAAAGCGAATAACAAATATTGGTAACAATTTTTATCAGGTGACATCATGACCTAACCCATGACACTGTGTCATCTGTATCTTTCAAAGCTATAGATAACTTTAAGCTTGCTTCAAAACATAATACATTTCCATACAGAGCAAACAAATGGAATTTCCACAGCTACGGAAAAGCGAGCCATAAATAAATAAAGTATTATTATTACTGGGTTCCTGGACTTTGCATAAAACATAAGAAGGTGGGGAGTCCCTCTCAGTTGGGTCCATTAGAAAGACCGGTTGTTACGGATACTCAAATTGTAATTACAATGTTTATTTTATATGATTACTTATTTTTCAGTTATGGCATTGCTGGTAAACAGAATGTACAAGGAGAGGAAGTCAAAAAGCTGGATGTGTTAGCTAACGAGCTTTTCATAAATATGTTAAGCTCATCGTACACAACGTGTTTGCTGATCAGCGAAGAGAATGAAAATGTTATCGAGGTAGAATTAGAAATAAGCCACAACTCCACAAACCTTATCCATCATCCAAAAATAATTTGGCGAGCTCATTATAACCTTTCCCACTCAAGAATTTTACTTTATCTTTGGGAATCTTTGTATATTTACACATAATATTCTACCAGCCCAAGTTTATTCAATTTCAGTTTCAGAACGGAGAGATTCAGTTGAACGTCGCGCTAGGATGCGATTTTACAAATCTCAGACCGACTAGAAGTACAACCAAAACAGGAACAATTTATTTACTTGTTAAGACTTGACGTTTCCATAGCATTAGCACAATGCAAAAGACTACCGACTATAATTTATTTATTTTTAAAACTTTGAATAATGTTAGACTCGGCCTGATAGTTAACACAAACCGTTAAATGCGATGTTAATACATCACTCTGACTTAATGTAATCTATAAAAAAAGACGTAAATGAAATGATAAAAGCTAGTAAAATAAAAAGGTAATCATCGACACACAGTGACCTCTAACTGGAATAAATGAGGTTCAGGATTACAAAATTTTTGTGAAATTCCTGTACAGCTTTCTACTGAAACTCATCTGTTTTTTAGATTGAAACCGAAAAGCAAGGGAAGTACATCGTGTGCTTTGATCCTCTTGACGGCTCGTCAAACATCGACTGCCTGGTGTCGATCGGATCCATATTTGGAATATTTAAGTAAGAATTTAAAATTACAACATTCTCAGATATACAGCAGTTTCTTGTTAATGCTGAATATCAAGATCAAATACTTTTATATCAAAACCTTTAAAAATATAATAAAACCTCAAGAAGAGTTTCTCTTTTACAGGAAAACAGAAGGGAAGCCGTCACTCACGGCAGAGGACACACTGCAACCGGGGCGTAAGATGGTGGCTGCAGGCTACGCTCTGTACGGATCTGCCACCATGATGGTGCTTTCCACAGGCGGAGCTGTCAACGGCTTTACCTTGGATCCCGTACGTTATCAATATGAACGAAAGCGACACAGAAATGAAATTTCTCTTCTCTTCTCAAATGTTCCAAATTGAACGATCAATAAATATTGACTTTTTTCAAAGTAAAAATGGTTTTTATAGCAAAATTAATTTGTTCTGTTTACAAGGCAATTGGAGAATTTGTTCTTACTGACACTGACATAAAAGTACCTAAACGTGGTAACATTCTCAGTATCAATGAAGGATATTCACATATGTGGGATGAAGCGATTAAGGAGTACGTAAGCAGCAAGAAAGATCCAAAGGTAAGAAACATATTACTGTGAAATAATCACTCAAAGGAGGTTTACCTGCTTTTAACTGCTAAATACCTTGTAGAATTTATCGAAAAAATAATCACTTAAAGGAGGTTTACTTGCTTTTAAATGCTAAATACCTTGTAGAATTTATCGAACATATTTCTGAAGGACCCTGTGTTATGTACATATACCGAATATACCGCCAAAATTTGTCTCCTTATATACTGGAATAATATACGTGAAAATATGGGACAAAATTATAGTCCTTGGTATATAATTCAGTCATTTTCAGAACACGTTAAAACCTATTTTCTTACACTGTTTCATGAAGAATGGAAAGCCTTATGGCGCTCGATATGTAGGCTCAATGGTAGCGGATGTACACAGAACCCTCAAATACGGAGGAATCTTTATGTACCCAGCCACTTCTGCATCTCCCAAAGGAAAGGTAAAGTAATCTGAATTGAGAATGTGTTTATGAACTTCAAAGAAGAAAAATCTATGGCAATTAGGATTTGAGGTTTTCACTCGTGCTATTTACAATTAATTGCAGCTTCGACTCTTATACGAATGCTTCCCGATGGCCTACATCCTGACACAAGCCGGCGGACTTGCATCTGATGGGACAATTCCGATCTTGGACGTCGTGCCTGAAAGCATCCACCAAAGATGTCCTATCTTCCTTGGATCTCAAAATGATGTTGAAGATGTCTTGAAGCTTATCAGGAAGCACAAAAAGTAATATTCTGGTTATATGACCAAACAATGTTTTTTAATCAAAAAGGAACTTTCACATGACAGACTGATATACCGAGTGCAAATTATTTTTGTATAATTTAAGATAAAATTAATTTACACATTTTATAGCATTATAATTGTGCAAAATTTCACTGTCCTTTTTGTTTATAAAGAATCTGTACCACTTAACACTGTAGCAAATGCTACTTAGTTTCTCTTGTAATAAAATACACTTCTGGAGTTTTTGAATGTGTCTCCTAATTCCACACAAACGTGCCTAAATCTACAAATTTCTTCACACTTGGGTCACAGTGATTCAGCTTGTTATTGATGTCGATCCTCTTTTTTGGATGCTTGTGCCATGTGGAAGTGGGTGTGTGTTGCTAATGTTTCTGAGGAACATGCTGTCTCCATCTGCAGCCTCATCTCAGTACGTTCCTCACAAATACTGGCAACACAGCCCACTTACACTGCAAGTATCCAAAAGTAGGATCAACATCGACAAAGACGAGGTTGAATTTTCCACACCTTCCAATGTTTTCAGATATCTACATGAATCTGTAATTCCATATTTTATTTGTCGTCTTACAGTATTATCACTATTTTTCAATAAGTTGTAGTCTCCAGAAATGTTGTGTGTACTATTAGAGCACATAATATATCATTAAATAATAAATCTCAACACAATACAAAAGCACCACATTCTATTTGCTGTGACCCTAATAGTACTGTGGAGGGCAAAACTAAGGCTTTACGGAAAACTGGTTGTTACGAGAACCACTGTTAACATGTACCAAAGCCCACGCCCGTTCCTTCATCGAAACCAAAAAACATGCAGTAACGCATATTTAAAATAATAAATGGTCAGTTATATTATTTACCTTTAAGACATAACATTACAGACAGTTATGTTGGTAACAGTGATAATGGTAGTGATAAGGATGAAAAGGGTTGGGCTTACCCTCCTCCTGCACATCTTCATACTGTTCGGCAGTCTCCGGCCAGCGAAGGTAAATGAGTCACGAGCGACATCTCGACTGGTAAAGAGCCGGGTATAGTCATAAATGTGACTGCAGCATCACTGAAGGATTCTCTCTTGAATATACTGTTGATGGATGTTTTTCTCGTAGATCCCTCTACATTTAAGGCAACATTAATTCCTCCAAACACTGCTTGTAGTGAACCCTATGCTTTATAAATAATTAATTTCAATAAAGTACTGGCAAGATTATAAACAATCATAATTCTGTTGCTAAGGATGGATTTTTATGCTACGTTCTCATTCTTGTTACAGGAGGACTCTGTCACCTCCTTAGTTAATTCCTCATGTGACTGAAGAAGCTCTAAAATATTGCTAGGATTCATACTGATTAATCCCTCGCCTACTAAACTTTGTACGACATTCACAATAAACTGCACCTGAATGAGAACGGAAGTTCAGTCAATGTAATTTTTCCCTATCTCTTTTTGAAATTTTACCCTAGCAAACGCATATTTCTTGGTGTCGGAGCCACCAATTTTCTCTACCGTATACTGTGACGGGCAAAATTGTTAAAAATTAAGAACTACAGAAACCTGAAATCTGCATTTGGTGAGGGACTACGAAACCAATATCAGAAATGTTTCAACTACGTATTTATAATTTTCTATTCATTACTGAAAGATGTAGAATATTTGTCACAAAAAACATACCTTTAACTACAAGACATACCAAAATACTAATACCTTACAGATATACTGGATGAAATAGCAACACAACCATTAAGATTGAATTGACTGTGGTATAATAATTTCTGAAACCTGTGACCAGTTATCAATTGCTTCCAGGTCATTTCTTTATTCTAATAAAGCTCCAAACTGTCGTAATTCCATAGATTCCACCACCTGCACAGTCTCAGCTAAGCAGTTTGAGAAACAATAAACTTCTTGACAATTTCAACTCCCTTCTGGCAGATGCGAGACTCAAGCACGAAGAGATGTGAACTGGTGGAACACTTCCAATATGTGCGGATCGAGATCTTGGGTAAAAAGCAGAGTCTCCAAAGTAGAGCTGTACTTTTGGACCTGTTCATGATGCTGAAGGACAAAAGATACAATACTGAAAGTATTACGTCAATAAATATTATTTGCATATACAACACACACATGGTGTATCATGCAAATGCAATACTTGTGATAACCCATTTTTAAATATTTTCCTATACATTTTTGCCAATTTTCTCCTTACTAAATATTTACTTTAACAAATAAATATTTTGGATCTGATAAAGTTTGCTGAATTTCATAGCATTTATCTTATTCAAACGTATGTATGGCGCATGATGATGTACGGTTCCCATAAAAATAAGTTTTCTGGTCCAAAAAAAACACGAATTAAAAAATTAATCACACTTATACGAGGTGATAAAAAAATAATAATGGCGATCCTAGTCTACATACCACGAGGAAGACTTGCTGTAACCTTCCAATAGTCCACTTGTACCAATGTGTGTTGAAGTCTCTACCATCAGTGTCACTGCGCACCAAATGTTCAGATAAAATCATTATGAACCTCTGAAAATATAACAAAAGAAAACTGCTATGAGAAGGCTGCTCAGGACTCAATACACAACAGAAAGTTCTTGTTGTTTTAATGAAACAAACTGTTTCAATGTAATTACGTAGGATAATTATCTTACCTGGAATATGATAAGGAAAAGATTCTTCTGGTCTGCCTGTGCAGCTTCAAGGCGTTCTTCCATGCGATCTACCATGTCTTCTGAGGGCTTCTCGTGGTCATCTGCTCCTCCTGACTTTCCACGCTGGCCAGAGTTATTGTTTCCCTCTCCATCACCATCTTCTGATTCATCGCTGTCACTCTCCGCATGTCGTAATCGCTCGAGAGCTTCGGCTAATTCGCGACCTAGACGATTCACGTGCTTGCTCATCTTTTTGATTGTCAGATGTAGGATTTCCCACAGGTACAATCTAAGACCATAAAAATGCAGTAGTAGACAAAATTAATTACATATATTATGCAAATATGTATAATGCTGGTAAGAACAATTGTTGATTATTTCCACGTTTGTAAGTTCTTCCTGGTTTCTTTTCAATTCAGAAGTCCCAGCAAATATAGAATTCTAATCTCCAAAAAATAAGCAACACTAGCAGCAAATCAGCTGTATAAGTTCTGTTTCTTTTTTCTGTCCCTCTGCACGCCATGTAGGTCGTTTGGGGGGAGCAGAGGTATAGCTCCTACTCATTCTTGAGCTGGGCACTAGATGGGGGTGAGTGGTCAGCATCACGCCCCGGCCGGCTTTACCCCCGGGAAAGGATCCCGGTACCCATTGGACAGGAGGCTGGGTGGGCCCCAGAGCCGGTCTGGACGCAGAGGCTAGAGGAAAAATCCTCTGCCCCCGTCGGGGAACCCCGATTGCCTAGCCCGTAGCCAGTCACTATACTGACTGAGCTATCCCGGCTCATTCTGATTTAATATATCTTTATTATAAATCTTAATATATGTTCCATTTTACTATATTTTAAGAGTACTTACTACAGCAATGCATTTATACCAACTTTGAAACACAAAAAGTACAAATTATGATGACCAAAAATACACCGCCTTTTACAGTGAAAACAAATATGCAAGATTATGCAGAATTTAATCACAGTAAATAGGCTACTTACTTAAAGACAACATGACATATGCAAAGATCATGTTCTGGTTGTATAAAAACTGAATATTAAATATTATTTACATGAGAATCCCCCACTCCAATATTATCTGCATGTTACATAAATAATGTGTTTTCTCACTTTGTAAATTCTCCAGACATGTCTTTGGAAAAGATCCAGTTAGCAACAGCCGAACACTCAATTATCTGTGTCTTCAACATCTTGTCAATGAGTACACACATCATCTGTTGATGGCCATGCCAAAGATCAAACATATTCCGTAGGATGCAGATCTGAGCCTCCTCCGATTCTGCCAATTCCTGAAAAATGTAACTTATTATTAACTGTGTCAATCCAATATTAACATTTCCTTTTAACCAATAGATTTAACCTTCCACCAATACAGAAATGACTCTTTCTGTGTTGTACTGTCCTGTATAAAGGTAGAGGCCTTGCGACGGGCCAATCCCTCGTCCAAGGAGTCCTACCAACTGTCCATAGATCAAGCCAACGAAAAGTTGGGACCCGCAGTGCTCTGGCACTTGAAGAACGGGGCGTCCCAGTATCCCAGACTGACAAAGCCTTCACTCACAATACTTTGATTATAAACTTGGCTGTACCTTAAAAACATAATGAAATTTTGATATGGCAGCAAATGAATGGGAGAAGCTCTTTGATCCCAGGTTCAGTAGTGTCTGAACAAAGACATCAATCTTCAGAGGATTGAAACGCGGATCAACATCTTCATCTTGTCGAGGATTAGGTAAGTCTTGCAATACATGTAAAACTTCCTCAGGTTTACATTTTGCTCTGATGGACACCACTAACTTATGTGCTGATGTTGTACCGGGCAAAGAACCTGAAAAAACAAACAAACAAAAAACAACACTTTAGTATTTTCTTTCAATTCCACACTGTACCACAGAGGGTTAATGTGTGAATACACACAAATGAAAAATCTGTGAAACAATGAACACCTGAAATATTTATTCAAGAGATGAATTACTCCATCACATAACCACCAATGAGCTGCAAGTCAGTTCTGGAGTCTTAGAAGTACCACTACTTTGTTACACAATTATCTAATTACACAATCTTGTCTGAATACTCATTAAAATATATGAGGACGCTGGGTCAAATGCAATATCCTTCTAACGAAAGTAACTTTCTCTTCCTTCAAAATCTTTTAACATGGTGAAACTCCATTTAGGGTAACATATAACCTTGAGCAGCATTTGCCATTTTATGGACCTTATATTGTGACATCTGTTCCATATTTGATGTCTTCAAGTCATTAAAAATATTACCATCTTATGAAAGACAAACTTACAATAACACAACAGATAGAATTACAAACTACATCACCTCTTCTTTCTAAAGCATTTCACATCAGAATGACCCTGATTTGTCAGGTCAAAGAAGACAGATTAGAAACGGACATGAACTACCTTCCTCTAAAACGACAGCTATTTGAAAGAAGGCAACAGCCAGCAACAGACATTTCTGGATAACCATCTACTGTTAGGAGAAGCACAATCTGCGAAGCGTAACAGACAATACGTCACTGCCCACACAGATACTGTGGAAACTGAGAGCAAAAGTAATTCAGTATTCGTGAGACTTGGCATATGGTCAGAGAGGTGCTCTTTCTATGAATCAAAAGCGCTGTATGGATTATCTGAATAACTAAATTTGATATCTGTGTTAAGAGCTGAGGAGGGAGGAAGTTTAAAATGAATACAAGACTAGTGTGCTACTTCATTTTAATGGTATGTACAATTCATTAATGTGGAAATGTAATATTCTCATCACTACATGCATAAACATTTTATGAAGTAATTAACAGAAGATTAAATTCAGGAAATGCTTGCTACCACACAGTTCAGAATCTTCAGTCTTCCTGTCTGCAATCTAATAACCATAAAAATTAACATATACAAAGCTATAATTTTACCTGTTACTTTGTATGAGTCTGAATCTTGATCTCTCAAGTTGAGGGAATAACACAGATTTAGGGTGTTATACGAGTACCGTATTACACTTGTATGTCAGAAAATTATCATGACCTTTTCCCCATTGTTTTTATTATTTATATTTCATTTAAATATGACCATTTTCAATAAAAAGCTATCATATCCCTGCTTCATACAGTGTGGCATTCTTGATCATTACTGCTGTCAGTAATCAGTTATGTGAAGAAAGCTTGTTACAAAAGACCTACTTGGCATAAGCAAAAAATACATCCTGTTGGACACACACAAGTGTTTCACTGCAAAGGGTTAATGGTATCAGACAGTATAAAATATAATTTCTTGAGTGACTGAATTTGAGTGTCAAATATATGGTATGGATGACAGGAAACGTGAAAATATGAATGTGTATGGCAATAAATACACAAATATGTTGTTTCACAAAAATACAGCACAATATGAATAATCCAAGAGAGTGTATTACTCCCTCCATTTTAATGAGTGGCGCAGAGACACAATGGAAGTAATTAGTCATGCTTGGCTATAAAGTGAAACATTCCAAACAATGGTAACGCCAAGCATTAAAATTTATTTCACTAGACAGAATGACAAGGTAACTGATGCATATACTGTATGTTATGGTAACCTTTCCATTTTGTTTCTCTCACTGATTCTACTTACTTTAGATACCAACTTTAGAATGTGAAAAAACACCTAATTTGTACTCTTTCACCAGATATTATTAGGACAATCATGTCAGGTAAGATGAGTGAGGCATGTAGCATGCAAAGAGGAGATATGTGTAAAATGTTATGTTGTAAAGTGTGAAGGCAAGAGATCATTCAGAAGGACTCGGTACAGATAGTAGGATAATATAAAGATGGATTTTAGGGAGGTGAAATGTGAACCAGAGTTATCTGGCTTAGAGTACAAACTGGTGGCAGGCTATTGAGAATAAAGTAATAAACCTTTGGATTACATAAAAAGTAGGGAATTTATTGACCAGATCAGTGACTATCATCTTCTCAATAAGGGCACTGCTCCATTAAGTTTCATTTCAAAATGTGCAACCTTACTGTTTCAGATTTCTGTCCATTGGCATCATGGCGTAGCAACACACACATCATTCCTTCTAGGAGACACAAATTCAAAATCCAGATGTTGTAGAGGCGATCACTATGAAGGACTTAGTCACTTTCATCAACAAACTGACAGCAATCAACGACCTGACCACAATCCCTCCTTCACTAAACACAGGCATGAATATCATACTCACCCCACACACCATCATCAATATTATGATGATGATTATTATTATAGGCCAAACAAACATAACTATTTTGATTACAGATCACCACCAACAAAGTACTCATATCACAAAGAATATTACACAAGAAAATATAACAATCCCCCTTACCAGGAAATAAAATACATGCAAAAAAGAAAAGGGTTTATTTTCCCAGATACACATAGCAACGGTAATGATGGAAGAGGAGGATACAGACCACATATTCCTAATTCATACTTCCAAGATCACAGATATCATGAGAATAAGAATGACTTCAGTAATTTCAGGAACAATAATGATCATCGAGGCTTCCATGACCAACCATATGACAAGCACAGACAGAAATACAGACCTGGACTGTTGGGCGTTTCACTAGGTAGAATAGGAGCAGTGGTCGTTACAGGTCCTGACGGATATAAACATGTTATTCATAATCTCCCACCGTGGACAGATACCACACCTGACAGAGAGCATTATCAATGGTCTGTTCCAGGAAATATGGATGCTCAAGGTGGCTTAGAACGCCCTGGTAGCCACAGCTTTTCAACAGGTTTGCACAAAAGCCCACAAGTGTATGATCACCAGAATAATCGCCATCAAACATACAAAAAGATACCAATATATTTTGAAAGTAGCGACAAGAAAAATCATCCACAATTTTTAACAGTGTATAAAGAGTCACCGAAGTCTCATCTTACAAAACCTCCAGAGGATACTCCCAACAGTCAACATGGAACAGATGAGAGATTGGAACAAAATTATACAACACCTCCAAAACAAGACAAATTCCATCCATCACTACCATTTTATAAATATTCTGAAGCTGATCCTTTGTATCATCCTAACAGATCACCTCTGCAAACATATTCACCTACTGAAGTAACTCAACCCCTTACCACACTACCATCAAATACTTCAACCATTTCTAAACCACATCAATCTGAAAAACCTTTAAAATACCCAGATTCCATCAATGTACAGCTACCACCACCAGCTCCTGACAGCAACACAAGAGTACCTTACGTGGCAGCCACAGAAGTGACAGAGCGAATACCAAACCAGCATCTAACTGTTGCAACTCAGGCATCTGAAGCAACTCATGAGAAATCTTTGATACAAATATTACCAACAAAACCATCTGTATCCAGTCCCACAGAAAGTGAGATTCCATCTTCTACACTACAGACACAGACAACTACTGTCGAAGAAAACATGACCTTCTCACCAACTTCATTAATTCAAGATACATCAATGCATCCAGGGCCTGCTGACAACAGCATAAAAACTGAACATTTTTTACCAACAATAATTACAGAAAAGTCTGACATTACTCCACACCAATCTACAGAACAAAGTAACAGCATAACCATATTGCCCACTTCTGCCCAGGAATTTTTAAATGCCACACACAAATCAGACACTACAGAAACATCAGTCACCAATAACACAAATAATACTGAAAATAAAATCTACACTGCTGCTCTTTACGTAACTGCTGTGACTCCTCCACAAAGTTCAAATAATCCAGACAGGTCAACAGTAGTTTCTGACTCAGGTATCACAAACACTGAAACGACCACAGAAATAAACACAGTGACAAACGCTGCTGGTACAGAAACCATATACAATTCAACAAAAACAGAAGTAAAAGAAAACTCAAATATCACTGAAACTATAAAATCTGAAAATGAAGAAATGCAACCTACAGTTGAAACAGACAAAACAGAAGTCACAAAAACTGGGATGATGGAAACCTCGCTAAATGAATCAAACCTTCACATAGAAAGTATTGCAACAAAACCTGAACCACTAATGATCAACCAACTTCAGACTCTGGTGAGTCATGCTCAATCCCTTAATTATTTGCATCATAATTCTAATACAACTGCTGTACCTACAGATGAAAGTGACCGGTAATGATTTGGAACATGTGTACGTCAAATATCTTAAAAATGAAGCTAAATGTCAAGCAGAAACATATGCCAACTCAAGATCATAGGTAGCCTTTAGTATGTTCTCACTCATTCTTAATTCTACGAGATAATGCACCTCTTGGGTGGTGGATCAGACAACTAATAAGACTCTACCATCAAAAGACATGCAGTAAAACCAAAGTATCTTCACCCTGAACATAATTTAAACCAACACTGACAGAACATCCCTTATGCGTTGCATTTAGACCGACAAGTTTGGTTATTTGGCTCCAGGTATTTTCATACAAGATTAAAGAAAACGGTGAGACAAAGAGGTGACGGTAAAAAATGGGGCAAAATTCAATCATGAATAAATGGAACCATAATCTGAACTTTTTAAGACGGAGTTTACAACGCTATTTTGTGTTCCTAATAGATTAATTACATGTTTCCTTTATAACTCCAATAATCTCTTCCCTCTTATCTTACAACTTTGTAAGCACATTGTGTCATATACAGCACTTTCAATTTTGAATTCAATATGAATTCTGAATATAAATCACAGAATTATAAATGGACTGACATACGTAAGGATTAAGACAGCTGTATGTCCATTATTTTCTGGAAAGGTTTCTAAAGAATTCTGTGAACCTCTGTTTATAAATACTGTACAGCAATGGAATATATTTGTGGAACCGAATGAAACAGATGTGTCAAAACAGGCGGAAAAGACACGTAATAAAATCAAGTCTTGGAATTTATTATACATTTCTCATATGACAATACAAAATTTTTGACCTTACCATCCTGCTTTCAGATTAAACGTTCACGTCTGCCACGTTAGAACCATTAAACGATAAGCATTTAAAAAATAATGTGCAAAGATATTCTTAAAATGATACTGACCTACCTACCAACATAGTATAAAAGTCATGGGACACATAAAAGAGATGCATTAGTCTATCAATTTAAGTTTTTGAAAGGAACTCAGAAAAAATGGATACTTGGTCTTACCTGCACCCTCTGCAGCATACTTGAATTTTGGTTCGGGCTTTGTTGGTATCAGGGATTCAAATGAATCTGGCATCATATCCTTGATTCTTTGATGGTAAGATAACCTACAAATATTAAACTATATTACACACGACATTCTCCACATTCTTTGAACCTGTTATGTGAAATTAAATTACTGACAATTCACAACACATTATAGAACATCACCTTAATGATTTAAGCAGAACTTCTCGCACAAACTTTGGACGAGGGTGTTCGGGGTCAAGCTGTAAACATGAGTCCCAGTCTTCCCAACTCCAGCGGAATTGAAAGTTACTTAAATGATATGAAAACCAATTCACAAACCTAAAAAAGTAAAAAAATATTATTATTATTTACGCAAATAAAATGTAACTCATGTGTGTACCTCATATTGAATATAAACTGGCTATTACCTATCAAAACAGGCAGTGTTCATTGTGTCAATCCTTATAAATAAAATTTCTGTAGCCTGAGCTAAAACCTGAAATCATAGAAACATACAGGCTGTAAGAAATTATCACAATTACATGCAGAAACAGTTATCACCAATAATATACCAATCTTTAGTGACAGCGACAATAGTATTACACCACAACACGTGTGTACCCAAACACATATACGGATCTGTCAATTTATAATTTTTTCCCTGAAACTTAATAGAGTAAGAAACAGAATATAAAAACAGTCCATTTTCAGTTTTGTGTTCAAAATGACTTTTAATGTGAAATATGATAATGTTAGAACTTTGACATATGATGTAAAACTATTTCAATACAGAATGTTAAACAGATACACCTAAAAAGAAAGAAATATAAAGATAAAACAATGTAAACAGCGAGCTTTGTTACCGTAAACAAACTTACCTTATCAAAAAATGCAAAAATAACATAACTGTTGTAATAGCATTTCTAATTTTATCATAAGCAGAATCACATAACCTACCTTTTATTCAAATTAAACTTATGCACTTCAAGATACCTGAGGCATGGTGCTAGGTTGTAATTTACATAGTTCAATCAAAACCGAACCATATACAATCTCCAAGTACCGTGGTGATGGCATGTGAAACAATTCAGCAAAAATTACTTCCACAATTGAATAGTCAAGTGGAATCTTCAGTTTATATGGGAAGTTGAGTAAGTGTGCTGCACTGTAAAGTAAATATAAAACAATATTAAAACTCAATTTCTTACATAATTTTACTTTAAAAAACAACAACAAAGGAACAGAAAACATCGTCACCCAGCAGTAAAGGAGGCTGCTTGTTGGCCTCTTCCAAACTCATCTCTCTACCTTTCTCTTTAAAAGTCATCCTTGGTCTCACAATCCACACGGCTTGTAATTTTTAACAGCTTGGAAAATCTCTCTGCATACCTTTTGTTATGTAAGTCATGACGAGAATCAAAAATATTGGCTGCCTGACTGTCACGAGACTAGTCACTTCACAGAGAACATTAAATGATTCAGTCACTTTTTCGCACAACCATTTATATCTACAGATAACAGCGCACATACAAAATATGGACAAACAAACTGAAATATTAAATAAGCTCACATTTAATACACAGAATATTAGAGGTCTTTGCAATACAAAGATTTTTATTAACTTGTAGTAATGTTACATAACGTAAAGTTGATTTACAACTTACCAATCCTTCCTCTCTAAATGATGCATCTCAATAATTTGATGAAGATGCTCTTCTATTAAGAATCTCTCTATTGAATGAGCACCTGGAAGAATTGGTCCCTGAGAAAAGAAAAACATGGCATGGCTACCTACATTTTAATTTCAATTTCACACATTCTCCTTATGCAATTATACATTTATAGATTTTTTTATACAAGTTATACTAAAAACATGTTTTTGAGTACCTCAGGGCAGTCCGTATAGTCAAACATACGGAAAACGACGTGAGGCATCGGGTACTGATAGCTGTCATGATGGGGCGGAGGCAAAATTGTTGGCAAGTTGTGCTGGAGGGCCTCACACAAGATGCTATCAAATGCCAAGTATGGACGAGGTATGTGCTTTTCTGCCCAATTGTCCTGCCGCAATTTCCGAATCTGAGCCCAAAGACAGTCTAAGTACTGCAAAGGAAAGTTACATGAACCATCAGTTACCCCCGTGTATCAATCCTCTGGTGCAATAATGAACACCTCAGAAATGCTGAAACACAGATTAACACTACCATAAATAATTTCGGTACTTGTGGGTTATCGGGACACATCGCTTTAAAAACAGGTTAGGTTAGGTTAGGTTAATGTGTGTGTATAAATGACATATACTTGAAAGTTATTATATTTTATTTCAATAAATGACAACTAACCTAACCTAACTTAACCTATTTTTAAAGCGATGTGTCCCGATAACCCACAAGTACCATAATTTCAATCAAAGAATCAAGCACAAACTATAACACATTATCAAAAATTCCAGTATGTCAATGGTAAAATATAATTAATATAAACAAAATGGTCAGTATAATATGGCTAGTAAAACCTAACATTGTCGATGGGTCGATCAGTTGTTCAAAATTGAATGAAAAAGATTCGTAAAGAATTTTGTTGGGGAAACTGCTTTGAAGACCTAAAAGGAGATGGATTCATAATGAGTTAAGGAAAATGGACTGGGACAATGGGAAATGGATAGAACTGGTTAAGGACTATCCGGCAAGCTTTGGGTGTCAGTGACCTTCAACCTTTGGTTTTAGTTTATTCAGCAGTGGAGTTCAAAAGAGTACTCCATATGTACACAGTATGTCTACAACCAGTAAAACAAAAGCAAGAATAATGATATTAAACATAAAACATCGAGATTCTCTAAGAGACACGACAAAGACGAACCTCTTCTTGAGGATGAGGGGTGTCCAAGGCCCATACTCGAAGGGCTGCATGATGTTTCTTGCTTCTTTTCCCAAGAAATACCTCAATGGACACTAGCAGATGTTCAAGAGCCTGCTCCTTCTTCTCATATAGTTCTCGTCCCACCCAAGGTAACGTTGACAGCACTGCAAACACGTACCAATCCTTGCGCACCTGCTCAATAAAGAGGTTAGAAACAACAGGATCCAAATATAGGATCTGATATAGGCACAAGCATAAAGTTTTGAACAACAACAGAATAAATGCTACTTATTTATTTTACCTGTGGTACTCCATCTTCTTTGGCAGCATCCACCATGTTATCCAGCAGTTGCAATAAAGAACCCGCAGAGATTACATGACAGTTAACTAAGTCAGCCAAAAACCTTAACGAATACCGGGCTGCATCCCACTTGCAGGCTTTCAATGAATCTTTCAAGTTACGCACCATATATTCAACAAACTGTAGATGAAAATAATAAAAGAAATGTCACTCAACAATCATACTATTATGAACATTTTTAGAAAGAAGATAACTTTGCATCAAGTTCACTAAATATACATTTGTTTCAAGATATACAAATAATTTTAAATTACATACTAAAATTACTAACTCGTATTTTATTTAATTTTTAACAAAGACTGAAATTTTTGTAAACTTCTACCAGACTACACATCACTAAAACCCAAAAGACAGCCATCTTCTTTCACAACTTAACAAGTTCTTTACAAATCACAGATAAGTTTCCTAATATAACAATTCATACATTTTCAGATATCAACTGCTTACCTCTCCACCAAAATTGTAATTTTTTGCATTAAGCAGTCCAACCAAGGTAGTGTATATGGTGCATTTCTCTGGCATTTTGATAGCACAGTCTGTCAAAATGCGAAGAATCTTGCTGCGGAAAGTTGCCAAATCTGCTTCTAACACACTTGCTAGACCTTCCAAGTTACTTTCCAAGGATGAAGTACTCTGAAATAAAGGAGTGAATTACTACTAATCGTTCAAATGATGCACCTAGCATACAAAATATTATTTTCCAAATACTGCAGACACATATGAAGAGCTTATGGCATCTAACAGAACAAGCACTGAAATTAAAAATCTGCTGCCTTGTTATTTCTAATCTTTGGAATTAACACTTAACTAACCAATTATGAACAATGCAAGAACCAATAACCTATCCTCCTACAAATGTACATTTATTTACACTCAATGACAATAACAGAATAATAAAGTTTTTATACCTTTTCTCCAACTCTCAATATTAGTGATTCCAAACGGTCTTCTATTTCCTGATTTTCGGACACTCTCCTCCTTTTCCTATAGGCTCGTTCTGCAACATCATCAACACCACCACAATTATAACAATAATTCCACACATATTATATAAAATGATACTACATATAAGAATAAAAAGGCAAAACTGTTTCTTTTTCAAGAGGACAGTCCTGGAAAATAAATGTGAAAACCATCTGAAAAGTATGATAAGAAGTGTGGGCAGAAGGACTGAACAAAACTAGAAAAAACTTGGGTAACTGCTATTGTAACACAAAAAAAACTAAGAAGATTAATGTTTCTTCTGGTGACAGGAGTGTAAGAATAACTCCAGCAAAGGACAGTAAAGGAAAAAAATATATACTATAACTAAAGGAATTATAGTTTCAGCACTCTTTTTGATGCAGCTTGGTACAGCATTTGGAGAAAATACTATTTTATGCACAGACTCTTCAATAACACTCTTTTAACTTCTGAGCAGGCATTGTACAATGTAGCAGTTATTCACATAACTTTTCCAACTTGCAAGACCAACATCTACATCTTCACCACTGGGAGAACCTCAATCTCATACACTTACATGATGATTAACTGGTAAACCACAGGTTATGTTCCCAGTATGTTGTCTGCTATGCGAAACACATAAATTTGCAAACATTTTTTTAAACATTCAAAACCCCTTTAAAGATTACTGGCTATAAGACTTATGTAAAACATACGGGTAAACATTGCATAAACTTAAAACAGGCATACAACACAAACACCTTCCGAAGCAAACAGTATAATTAAAGTTTACCATAGCCATCGTCTTCCTCGTGAGGTCTTCTGCGACTCATTGTCTCAAATTAACAACTGCCCACATACACTTTAAATTATCACAATTTGAAGTGATTGTATTTTATTAACTAAAATGTCAAAATGCTAAACCCACAAAACACAACAGGAAGCAAATGTCGCTGCTGTGCACAAGTTTAACAACCACATACACCGTATTGGCAAATCGAGCATATTTTACTCCCATCTTTACACGCAATGTAAATACTAGATAGGTCAAAGTTACGATAGATAAGTCGGTAATACATCCACAATGTTTTACTTTATGGAGAAATGCGATATCATCTACTATGGGCTCCTAGTTATGATCTCCTACTATAAGATGTCACTACACATGAAAATGATCCTCTCCCTTGGGGTTACCAATCTTAAAATTTAGCGGAAGTTAAACTGCTGCGTACCCTATGGATGAAAAAATGAAGCATAAAGGTACATGGTATCATGAACAGCAAATTTTACTACCCAATTTTAGTGGGAAATGAACAAAGTCTATTGCAAATATTAAGGACAAAGATGAGTTGACATTATGAAGAAGTCCTACAATCCGATTTCGGACGTAAGAAACGAGAACGTCGAGTTATCAAGACGTCTTTACAGGTGAGCAAAGAGGTATAGCCTAAATGTGTTGTAACATTCTTCATAGTAATGTAGGAAGGCGGAATTGTGAATCTTCTTTCAACAGTCTTTTCCACGGTTTATTTTAATTTTATGTGTAATATTAGCTTTTAGGATGTAATGGTGGGTATTTATGAATATGCTTATTAACATCCATGTCCCGTGTAATCAGGTAATTCAACAGCCAACAGAGAAAAATTATACTTTTCATGGAACATATTACACTTCTGAGTTGGTCAGTATAATATTGTTTCATTTTTATAGAGCAATATCTGATGCCTCTAGACATCTGGATGACCGTCGTGGAAGGGCCCAAACATGCAATGACTTGTTCTTGCCTAATGTGGAGACCCAACGGGTGAAGCTGAGAGAATACTGTGAGCGCTTGATTTTCTCAGATCCTGTAGGCTATGGGCGGAAGGGAGAAGAACTCCTGTGGAGGAAGGGCTACTATGATGTTGTCACAACAGCCAAAAGGCTCAGAAAGGTATGAAAATACTTTTTGCTACACTTTAGTACTCTGTTCTTCATGTTTATATAAATATGTTCTTTCCTGTAACTGTATACAGAAACATTGTCAGTGGCAGTACTGGAGTAATTTTAAATTATTGTGGGAAATTAACTATTGACATGAGATTGAAAGGTGTTAGTAGGAAGTTTGTAGTTGGTTGCAACTTCATATTTATACCATATAATTTTCAGCAGTTAGTACTGCGAATGTTGTGTTGTCTTATTTGTATACAGTTTTTAGCATCAGTATAAATCATAATTTTGTTTTAGAACAACACATGGAGCCCTCAGGAAGTAGCACACATGCAGAGCCATCTAGCAGCAGGAGTGGGACATTATCATCATCTTTTGTTTCGGCTACAGATTGAATTCAAGCTGGATCTTTATGGACTTGTTGATTTTCCATTAATATTGTATGATGAGGGATTAAAGAAAGGTGAGTGAGGATTTAAAGAGAGGTTTAGACTGCATTTAATTGGTTCATGATATTGTCTGGTAGTGGGATGGGACTATCGTCTTCCCAAGAGACACCCTGCTGAAAGTGAGTATAAGATTATGATCAAGAGAAGAGCACAGTAGGCAGAAATATCTAGAGAAAGGAGCTTTACATATAGAAATACTGAATATTGATATGGCAGAGGCCATGATAATGCTGCAGAAAACTTAACTACCTTTCTAATTCAGTCGGGAAGCGATTTTTCTAACATAGCTGCACGTTGCAATGACTTTTCGAAAGAAGAAATTTTGTTTTGCAGTATTTATTAGATATCAGTCAGCCACTGGTAAGTAATGATGCAGCAATTTTTCTCTGGCAAAATTGAGGAATTCACATTTTCTAATTCATAATGTTGGAGGTAATATCTTTGCAAGTTTGTAAAACTTATATTTTTCCTAGCCCAGTTTCTTTTAACTTTATTTATCTCCCCCCCTTTTTTCCTGACTCTAAGTGAAAAAAAAAAATTCCTTGTTTATTTTTTCCTCTTTAATTCTTTTGTTACAGAGATCTACTGGAAAGTTTATCTGCAGATTGCATTTAGACAAAAGTAACCTTCCACTTTTTAGTACCGTCTGAACCCAAATATCAGATTTATTCCTTATTTCGAAGTTTTTGTGTTTTTATTCTAGACAAAGCGTCGTCATCCAGCAAAGCACTGGAAAGTAACTGTGTGGATTGGGCTAAGCAGGCTGTGCACCGATGTTTGGTTTATCTGGGTGATCTGAGTCGCTACTTCTTAGATCTGCACCCTCACTGGGATACTGGGCTAGCTGTGCGCTATTATTTGCAAGTAAGTGTGTTCATGTCATAAAGAAAATGAGATACCCAGTTCTTTGCTGTTGCATTATACATTATATGGAAATAGGGGATTTAAACCGTGTATTACGTAACTACCAGCCAGACTTTAGCTTCAGGATTCTGATGTGTCACATGATCGGCTGGATCGTGCATAAGCTACACTGCAAGGACGATAAAGGTACACTACGGTAACACTTCTTCTTCTTCTATGGCTCTCCGGGTCCGTATTCGGTCCATGGCCTCCTCAATTCTCCTCTTCTATTCGGTCCTTCTGTTGGGTCCGTCTGTCCGAGGTTTAGGTTTCGAAACATCTTTCTTTTTACGGTGCAACGTTGTTAGCCTTGCGACCAACCCCCAACCTGGAGGACCAGGGTACCTGTCTTAGTCTGATCTCTCCCCCTCGACCAACCCTACCAGTAGCTCTTGGGATCACTGAGGTACTCGAGCCCCACCGCGACGACAAGGTTAAGCAAATTGTTTTCACAAGGCCAGTTGTCATACCATATGCTGCTGTAGCCTCCCCTAGCGTCTGGTATTTATGAATTTCCTAATTTAATCTATGAATTATACAAATATGAGCTTAATGTTACAGTAAATTAATGAACGAGATATGAAATTGAATACCATATGAAGGAAAGCCTTGTAATATGGTACACTAAATGCTGATTCCATCTTAGAATTTCTGTTCAATGTAATTCATTGTTTTTCTGACATTTTAATTTTTTCGTTTCGCTGCTCAATAAAGGATAAAATTTTTCCTTTCGTATATCATACAACAGATTCGCAGGTTCAGTGTGGATAACGTTGTGTACTTTCTAATTTGTTTATGGTGCGGAGGAGTGTGTAATTTGCTTGAAAATATGTTTTTGCAGGCACTGAATATGAATGTAGATGTTGGGATGCCTCACAACCAACTGGGCACGCTATCAGGGACGTGTAATTACGGGCTGGATGCAGCGTACTATTACATGCGATGGTGAGCGTTAAAATGTTGATGCTATTTTATGGTGAATGCATAATTGTGTGCGTTCTTCCCCATGTGTTTATAATTATTTCAGACCTCTTCTGACGGACCGTACGCTCTGTACGGATTCAGAATTTGCCTTGTTTAATGAAATAGTTGTTTGTGTGCATCGTTTTTGTATCCTCTGTGGTTGAAATTTAGTCAGTTTAGTGTTTATTTTTAAGTGATTTTTTTTGTATTTTTAGTTTGATGTGTAAGCAGCCATTTGAAGGTGCAGAAGGTAATTTGGAAAGGTTGCTGGAGAAAAGTACGCAGTGGTTAGAACAGCACTGTGACAACCAGTACCAAGTTGAAGATGCGTTGTCAGTTCAGCCTGCTGAGCGCATTCACAGACTGATAGCAAGATTCCTGCTACTTACTGACGTATGGTTCTTTGATAGGAAGTCGCTGGTTGAGAGTAATCAAGTAAGATTTCTTTCTAACTGAGCAATTGTGTATTTGTTTCATTTTATATACGTTGATCATATTTATTGTTGGAATAATAAATACTGGGCCTTGTGCCGCTTGGTCGCTGGATATTTGTCCGCGTCTTTCTGTGTTGTGCTGTTCTGTGTACAGGTAGAGGCCTTGCGACGGGCTGATCCCTCGTCCAAGGAGTCCTACCAAATGTCTATAGATCAAGCCAACGAAAAGTTGGGACCCGCAGTGCTCAGGCACTAGAAGAACGGGTCGTTCCCAGTATATTAAATACTTTAATACTTAATTTAAGAACTGCAATTATGCATTTTATAATTACTTCAGAATACAGAGTTTCTTCATTATGTCGTATACCTTTGCAGGTGTGCCATCAACTGTTACTAGACCTACAGCACTGCATGGCACTTCCGAAGCCATTCGCAGGTGGCAGTAAATGTGAGATGAAAGGAGGGCAGTTAGATGAGGAACATCTGTCACTCTTTCAGAGAAGCGAGGAAAATCAAGAAAGACCAGAATATCTCGGGGATGATCTCATCTTCAAAATGGTTGTCATGTCACTCCTGTGTATCACAAAATTGCAGACTAGCGGTAGGTTTTTTTCCCCCCTTTTCTTTTTTGTTGAAAGTACACATAAAATATTTGATAAGCTACGACGTTAATTTGGACGTTGTCCGTCATCTTTTATGTTTGGGGACTGGGTCCATATCCCATTATCAGGTGAAGGTAAGAGAGAGGGGTGCGTACTCTGGCGGAGAAAACCTGTGTCTAAGGGATTCACTACAGTACACCCTCCTCCGTCATAACTTCACCTAACGACGGAGACATATCCGATCTCTGAAAAATATTTGGTGATGGTTCAGATATCAATACAATATTATTATTTCTTCTTGCAGGTTCACAACAAGCATCTGCTGTAGTTGGATTCATATTAGCCATGTTTTCTCAGTTGGTCCAGCAAGTAATCCATCGCATTCAAGATTCAGTTTTCGATATATCATTTCCATCTTTTGCTCTCCCTCCGACCACTACTGCTACTTCACTTGAGCTTAACTTAACTGCCCTCTCTCCTGGAGACTGCAACATCAAGATACCGTCTGATGGAATGGCTGTTATTCGGCAGCCGTCAGATCAGTCCGCTGCCTGCGAAAGTACCGTGGCTTTGGTAAACGGACGTGCTGGGGAGAATGACTGTCAAGACACTAAAGCCGTCATGAAGAAAAAGATATCTAAACGGTTGCAAAGGCTGAGGAGCCGCAGACGTAGGAGGAGACGCTTGAACAGCTCTGAGGATTCTGATTTAAGTGATGGTAATTTTTACTTATGTTAATGAATGATACTGTTAGATTGAATCTCGGCCTTCAAGCTTGAACCGCATAAGAATTTTCTTAACTGACATTAACTTAATAGGTTATGCATTGCCGTTTAAATGACACGTCTTCTTACGATAAAGTTAAACCAGGAAGCTTAGATTCATTTAAAGTTAAGAAGTTATAAGTAGTCACCAATCAAAGTCTAGGAAAATTAATTTAACCAGGCAGTAAAACATTTCATTCTGAGGGAAAGTCTGCCCTTTTTTGGCCATCCACTCTGTATTTACACATTCGCTATTACGCTTCACGCCCGGAGGTTGCTTCCTCCTCTAACAACTTTTTACTTTATTGGAATTTTGCTGATAGAACAATTTGTTTATTTAGTCAGCGTGCCGATCTTTTCTGACTTGCGTCTTTAACTTGACAGGTGATTTCCCATATGGTGATGGCACTTCGAGTTCAGACGACGGGAATTCAAATATAAGTGAGAGTACAGAACTAGATCTGGACTTGAGCTCCGACGTTGAGGAAGATGATGATGAGGAAGACGAGGGCGATCAAAGCCCCAAAATGCTGCATATCAATTCTGACAGCTCCAAAGTCGCAGTGAAGCGCGGCAAAACACTTGACCAAGACGCTACTAAAGATGAATTAAATAAATGCAATGGGTTGAAATCCGGGAAGAAAGGCGACAGAAATCTCGCCAGTCCGCTCATAAATACCAACGGCTCGGTTAAGGATGAAGGTAGCTGTCGCGATAGTGTGATGATTAGCGGTGGAAGTTTAAATAATTTTGAAGCAGTAGCAATTAAAGAAATTAACGCTGAAGACAAGGACGTGGATAAAAACAGAATGAAGAATGGTCAAGTGCTAGATCCAGCAGATGCGATTGAGTTTGTTGCTGGAGAGAGGCTTCTGCACGCAATTAAAGTGTGCGCCGACTGGCTCCGCGGAGACGGCGACGCAATAAGAGCTTGCGGACGTGAATCCCAAACTCTTCTGTCCAGATTTGTAACTCTGTTGAACCTCATCAATGTGAATGCAGATGCGTTTGAGAAAGGTATATTATCATGTATATATATAAATGTCTTTATCATTTCTGAAATACTTTACGTTATTTGAATTTTGTGGTTTGGGGCACTTTTTCATTCTTGCTGACAGGAGAAAAATGATCTGTGTTAACTTTTTTTCCTCCTCCCTAGATTTAGTGAATGTTGCAAAATATTTTCGCAATTTACGATTGTCTGAGATGAAAGGGTTGTTGATTGCAGGATCAGATGTTGACCAGTTGTTTAAACTGAAAAATATTGCGGAGATTTTCAGGAAAGTTCCCTTACCAGAGGATGTGACACTGAAAGGTCTGTCGTCGTTGAAGACGAGCCATGCCGCTATAGATTGGGAATACCTTCGTCATCACTGTCTGCTTGTGAATGAAGAAGTGAGTTTTATTTTATGCTGTCAGGATACTCTGAGGCTTTTATGATCTCATTCAGAGATAATGACTGATTACAGGCAGTACGTTGCATTTTCTCTCACTCAGTTCAGTTGTTCATATAATAATAATAATAATCCGCGGCGTAACAGCCGTCTGAGAGACTAGCTAGCCGCCGGCCTCACGTTCACATGCCTAAGCAGAGGTGAACGACCATCCAACCAGATACAGGGTGACGTGTGGTCAGCACGACGAACCCCCGAGCCATCGCTAGCTTTGCTGACCGGATTACGCTACCCATTGTAGCTCCCCAATTTTCTCACGATGGTGGGTTGGCACCGGTCCCATACACTGGTCGAAAGCCCATGAGAAAATTTCTTTTCCCCCGAGACTCGAACCAGAGCGCATTCCGTATCGCCGGTCCGAAGCATGATGCGTCAGACCACGCGGCTATATACACCTTATTAAATGATGCAAGTAATTGCACTTCAATTATAATGACAGTCAGCAGAAGATAAAGATCTGGACAATGAAAAACTTCGTTTATGGCGGCCAGACTTTGGGCCGAGATTTTAACCTGGAAACTCGGCTGTAGCGTACGGACACTTTGTTGTGGAGACCATGGTACATCAGCCATATTTACTGGATATACTAATTTAATTTTTAATGTTCCAAAAAATTAAAAATGCATTTCAGGTTTCTTTTGTTAAATCTGGTAATGAACCTTAATTTTTTGAATGGGAAAAAAAAATTATGGTGGCAAGTTGTTAGTAAGGTTTTCCTCAGTCACTTCCAGTTATTTATTTTGTATCCTGGTTACAGGCCTTACTGCGTGTGTACAAACTGGTGGACTTTGGCCACTTCGTTGCTTCCGTCCCGGATACAGGAGTGAGTTACAATTCGGAGCAGAAGCTGTTCGCCTTCGTCGGCGAAACTGGCAGAGTCCCGGGTGAAATCTCAAAAGACAAGATTAAAGAGACTGCTACAGCCAATGTAAGTGCTACTTTCCTGATTAATCCGAATTTTATTTGAAATGGTCGTAAGAGTTTGTTTCGTTCGTGCCGTGAACTAACCTATCGGTTAGGTGACCAGCCAATAAATAGCCTTCATTTCTCTTATATTTGTGCTGGGTTTTTTTTTTTTGTCTGTCTGTCTGTCTTGAAATTCATTTTCTGAGATGAACAGGAAGTTACACTTTTCTTGCTGTAAAAACATTAAGAAATCTGAAACTACAAATTTCACTGATCAGAGATTACGTAAAATGCTCTGAAGGAAATTGGCGGAAACGTGTCGAAAGACCGGGTCTGATAGAATCCCTAAATACATTTTGTTCTGTCTGAAATTTGTTGCTAGTTTCTTGCTTCTCGTTAGTGATGGCGGAACAACCTATTTCTGAGATTCCGGTGTGTACGAGGCAGACTCTTGCAACCTCCTCGTTGCTGTGGTCTTGCTTAAAATTCCTTACTTTAACTTCTTATCCTTCAGTAATTAGTAAATAGCGTTGTAAAACAGATACCAAGACATAGATGGAAGAATAATATTAAAATGGAGCTTAAGAAAATGGTTGGGAGGGTGTGGATTAGATTTACGTGGCTTGGGTGGGGAGTGATGTCGTGCGTCCGTAAACGCAGTAATGAACCTTCTGGTTCCGTATAAATCCGGGAGCTTCTTGTCTAGCTGAGCGTGCCGTCAGTTTCTCAAGAAGAACTGTGATCGGAGATGGAAGTAAACAGATTTGCTTATGATCACGTCTTATCGAAGAAGTTTGTGTTTGATGTAGTTGCTGTTTTGCTTGTGACGACGTTAAGTCTCTCGTGTTCGTGCGTGGAGAACGATGCACTTGCAATTTTAATACAGTCGAGGAAGGAAATTGGAGGAGGAAAGTGAAATTCCAGGGTGAATATGAATGAATCTGCCATTTTATCTCATCTCAAAATTCAAATGGCGCTTCGTACATAACGTTAACGCGTTTCGCGCTTAAATTCGGTTACTGTCAGTAGTCCGCTGAGCGTACGAAACGTGTTTAATGATTGGAAACCCCTGATGTTAATTTGCACTTTTATAACCTAACCTAAAACTCATTTTCGTGGAGATAAGAGGAGGCGGGGCATTGACAGAAACTGCGGTAGTCACGCGGTATAATCGACAAAGCAAGCGGAAACAACTTTATGTACCACTCTGCGAGATGACGTGCGCGCTGGGCTGTATTTTATCACATACTAAAACTGAAAGGGGGTGGGGGGCAAGTTATGTGCAGTTAACTGCGTGGAAGAGAAGGGAGCAGAATAATGACATTAAATGGCCGAGATACGAAGGGGGTGAAGAATGAAATGCACGAGGTAAAAGAGTGCTGGGTTGCATCCAGAGGCAGAGACTGTGGTGGGGCTTGAGTGCCTCAGTGACCCCAAGAGCTACTGGTAGGGCCTCCGTAGCCAGATTGGTCGAGGGGGAGAGGTACCCTGGTCCTCCAGGTTGGGGGTTGGTCGCAAGGCTAACAACCTTGCGCCGTAAAAAGGAAGATGTTTTGAAACCTCGATCAAAGCCTCGGACAGACGTACCTAACAGGAGAGGAGAATTGAGGAGGCCATGGACCGATTACGGACCGGAGAGCCACAGAAGAAGATTGTTCTCTGTACATCTACCATCCTCCTTCCACTCCTCTCTCTACATTTACATTCTTGATTCCCTTCATCCATCTGACTCTTGGTCTTTCAATTGTCCTCTTTCCGGAACTTGTTTGAACCATCAGTTGTCTGCTATACAATATTGTAAAATCCATTTTTCTGTAATCAGGCGGTTTGGGGTTTTGGCTTTCCGTGATACTCTCTGCTAATATCCAAAAAAAAAAAAAATTAATTCTACTGGCATTAATATTTTTCTTGTTCATAATTCTGGAAAGATAAGGAAATGGATTAAAGAGGTGACTTGAGAGAAAGCAGAGAGAGAAATGTTTTAGATTGCCGAGCTCCACAACAAATATTTGCATGTGCCTGCGAACCGAGCTTCATTATTTACGTCTCTCCATAAATGTGTGCGCTGGTATAGATTTTTTCTTGCTTCTCGTTAGTGATGGCGGAACAACCTATTTCTGAGATTCCGGTGTGTACGAGGCAGACTCTTGCAACCTCCTCGTTGCTGTGGTCTTGCTTAAAATTCCTTACTTTAACTTCTTATCCTTCAGTAATTAGTAAATAGCGTTGTAAAACAGATACCAAGACATAGATGGAAGAATAATATTAAAATGGAGCTTAAGAAAATGGTTGGGAGGGTGTGGATTAGATTTACGTGGCTTGGGTGGGGAGTGATGTCGTGCGTCCGTAAACGCAGTAATGAACCTTCTGGTTCCGTATAAATCCGGGAGCTTCTTGTCTAGCTGAGCGTGCCGTCAGTTTCTCAAGAAGAACTGTGATCGGAGATGGAAGTAAACAGATTTGCTTATGATCACGTCTTATCGAAGAAGTTTGTGTTTGATGTAGTTGCTGTTTTGCTTGTGACGACGTTAAGTCTCTCGTGTTCGTGCGTGGAGAACGATGCACTTGCAATTTTAATACAGTCGAGGAAGGAAATTGGAGGAGGAAAGTGAAATTCCAGGGTGAATATGAATGAATCTGCCATTTTATCTCATCTCAAAATTCAAATGGCGCTTCGTACATAACGTTAACGCGTTTCGCGCTTAAATTCGGTTACTGTCAGTAGTCCGCTGAGCGTACGAAACGTGTTTAATGATTGGAAACCCCTGATGTTAATTTGCACTTTTATAACCTAACCTAAAACTCATTTTCGTGGAGATAAGAGGAGGCGGGGCATTGACAGAAACTGCGGTAGTCACGCGGTATAATCGACAAAGCAAGCGGAAACAACTTTATGTACCACTCTGCGAGATGACGTGCGCGCTGGGCTGTATTTTATCACATACTAAAACTGAAAGGGGGTGGGGGGCAAGTTATGTGCAGTTAACTGCGTGGAAGAGAAGGGAGCAGAATAATGACATTAAATGGCCGAGATACGAAGGGGGTGAAGAATGAAATGCACGAGGTAAAAGAGTGCTGGGTTGCATCCAGAGGCAGAGACTGTGGTGGGGCTTGAGTGCCTCAGTGACCCCAAGAGCTACTGGTAGGGCCTCCGTAGCCAGATTGGTCGAGGGGGAGAGGTACCCTGGTCCTCCAGGTTGGGGGTTGGTCGCAAGGCTAACAACCTTGCGCCGTAAAAAGGAAGATGTTTTGAAACCTCGATCAAAGCCTCGGACAGACGTACCTAACAGGAGAGGAGAATTGAGGAGGCCATGGACCGATTACGGACCGGAGAGCCACAGAAGAAGATTGTTCTCTGTACATCTACCATCCTCCTTCCACTCCTCTCTCTACATTTACATTCTTGATTCCCTTCATCCATCTGACTCTTGGTCTTTCAATTGTCCTCTTTCCGGAACTTGTTTGAACCATCAGTTGTCTGCTATACAATATTGTAAAATCCATTTTTCTGTAATCAGGCGGTTTGGGGTTTTGGCTTTCCGTGATACTCTCTGCTAATATCCAAAAAAAAAAAAAAAATTAATTCTACTGGCATTAATATTTTTTCTGTTCATAATTCTGGAAAGATAAGGAAATGGATTAAAGAGGTGACTTGAGAGAAAGCAGAGAGAGAAATGTTTTAGATTGCCGAGCTCCACAACAAATATTTGCATGTGCCTGCGAACCGAGCTTCATTATTTACGTCTCTCCATAAATGTGTGCGCTGGTATAGATTT